ACTTATACCTCTGCCTTGAGCTTTTTGTTTTTCCTTTCTTCTTTTCCAAGCCCGAGCGCCTAATCACCATGGTCACACCACCATCTTGATCATCTCCATCTTGCTCCATGTGGGGGGTACGACCCCGGATACCCACGGTAGACCACATGGGCCGCAGCCCCAGGGGTGGCCCAGCCCATAAGACGAAGCCTTGCGGGGCATGATGCTGCTCGGCGTGACCCGCAAGACATCGGGAAGATTTTATGAAGATACTACGAGATTTGTTAGGATACGTATGATCCTATCTCCTAGATCTAACCAACTTGTAACCCTGCCCCTCGGACTATATAAGGAGGGCAGGGACCCCATCCAAACACACGCAATATCATATGATAGCCAATACAATCCAACAGACCATAGGAGTAGGGTATTACATCGTGCTGATGGCCCGAACCTGTCTAACTCTTGTGTCTCTCTTGCCTTCATGTTCTCGATTACACGCATCTCTGCCGATCAATCTACCTTCATGGGATACCCCTCGGAGGACTACCGACGATATTCTATCGATAGTTGGCGCGCCAGGTAGGGGTGTGCGTGCTGTTTCCATGTCGAACAAGATGATACATTTTGTAGGCTCTTCGTCCCTCCCACAGCATGGCCAGATCTTCATGGTCGGATCAATCTCCTGGATCATCAACGCTGACGGAGTCGGAGAGCTCATCGAGCCGGTGTAGATCGATTCCGCGTTGATCACCCCAACACCTGCGACTGCAGATCCGATCTCGGAACCACCTCTGAGGTCATCTTCATCGATAATTCACCGCCCGCTCCCCCGCTACCCAAGGAGGCAAATCAACAACGATGATCTGATCGCATCCATCGATCAGGTTGGCCAGAAGCTCACCGATTGCCTCTCCATCGCAGAATTGGCTCTGACCACTCTGGTTCAGCACCGACCACCCTCCGATTTAGATCTATTGGAGGTCGATACAGGGGTTATGGCCCTACCCTTTGGAGCTCACCATCGTCGCCGCCACCTATCAAGATGCCCTAAGGGGCAAATTCACCGATCCGGTTGGAGATATCCATCCTCTCGCTGACTAGATCGCCGACTAGCTCTCACCGACTGTCAACATGCTACACATCGGCCGACGCTCCGAAGCATCCCTCCAAACCATCATGGAGGAGAATCTAGACTTTGAGTCCTAGGGCTCTATGGAGACTGTCGTCGAAACCACCACCGTACAACCTCCTTTCCCTCCCTTCCGTGGAGGTGCAATTTTCAATGTCAGCGTCGATAGCCCCCCACGGGATGGGGAAACCGAGGAGGACCGTGCTGCTCACATCAATAGGAACGTCAACCGTGCGCAGCGCCGAGCAAATGAGGCTGCCCTTATGCTAGCTGAGGCTGCTCGCAATGATCAGCTCGACTCGCAAGGAAGGCCACGCCCACTCCAACGCAACCTCGATGACGAATTTGTCCGTGTTGACGGCCACGACGTCTACAAGACCCCAAGCGCCAACTTAGTCGTGGCCGCCAATGAGCTCGCCCGGCTCCTACAAACACCGGAGGTCACCAAGGTCGCCTCCATGCTTAAAGTGGCGCACTGCCAGGTCAACGAGATCCGCCAGGATCAGAGACCTTCCTACTCGATGAGGCCAATTCGTCGATCCGCCGCGCCAAGATCTAATCGCCGCCCCAGCCGAAGTTGTTTCGTCGACTAGCACCACGATGATGGGGGAGCTAGGGGCAACCACGATGACCACCCTCGCGTGAACACAACTAGGAAGTCGACAAAGACGTCCGAGAGCACATCAACAATCTTCGAGACACACATCGTCATATCGATGAGCGCCGTTTCTCTCGCCACAAAGAAGAAGTACGCCGCCGTCAAGAATACGAGCAAGAGTTCGGTAATCCGGACTCAGTCCTCCAGCCACTCAACACCGGCAACGCTGCAGATCACGACGGCGATGATCCCGAAGGATCTCGAGCATTCACAAGGGCACTCCGAACACTCCAGTGGCCCTGTGGTTTCAAAATCACTAGGGTCGAGCCCTACGAGGGATGCATGAACCCCACACAGTGGCTATAAGCTTATGCCACTACTGTGCGCGCCACCGGGGGAGATACCAGCGTCATGGCGAATTATCTTCCTGTCATGCTCATGCCTACTACGATGAACTGGTTCGTAGGCCTTGCCCCGGACTCCATCGGATCTTGGGAAGAGCTGAAGAAGGTCTTCACCGATAACTACATGGCTATGTGTACTTAGCCGGGCACCAAGCATGATCTGAATCGCATTTATCAGAAACCGTCCAAGCTCCTCCGTAGCTACATCAGACGCTTTTTCGAGATGAGGAATTCTATTCCTAACATCATGGAAGCTGAGGTCATCACCGCCACTACACCACAACATCAAGATTAGCGATGGACGGTCTGACGCTAAAAGCGGCTACAGCGATAGACAATTTGAAGCTAAAAAGTTATAGCGACAGACTTCTGCAGACGCTGTAAGTCTTGTCGCTAAAAATCTTTAGCGTTAGACAGTACTTTTAGCGATAGATAGTCCGTTGCCCTGAATTTTTTTAGCGACAGATAGTCTGCTACTACTCTTTAGCGACAGATAGACTGCTAGTACTCTATAGCGACAGATAATTTGAAGTTACAAATATTTTTAGCGACTGATGGTTTGACGAGATCATTTAAATGCATTTAAAAAAATAAAAGACCATTTGGTTGCCAATTAATACAAAAGAAACATCTTTGTGCACATTTCTCATACAAATAGATTCATTCATGAACCTGAAACATAGATCCATGATCAGATAAAGTTACTATGCTTGAGTATGATGCATTATTACAAAAGTAGGAATCACTCCATTTTAGATGCATATAAACACTACTTTCAAAAGAAGCAAAGTTACATGCCTGTAAAAATTGTAAACCTGCACAATCAACAAGTCTATACTCTTTCACTACAGGATATAAATATTATTGATTTTGTCTAAGTAGTTAACAGCAAAATTTCTGCTGATCGCGCTAGCTTTTGTGAAAACAGAAAGCTAAGACGAATCAAAACGCAAAGAACTGATCAAAACTCGTACGTATAACTGTGTCTCCAAGTCCAAGGCTCTCTCTTCTAGGTGCTCGAGAACTTGGCGTCCATCTTGGGAGCCATGGCAGTAGATCTGGTCTGATGCAAGCATACCTCGGTGATTGAACTGTTTGGTATACTGTATACAGCACTCTAACCTGCAATAGGTCACTATCAAGTAATGCAGCCAAACTGATTATAATCAACACAATGCCTTTCTCAATCTGTGAGCCTGTGTTTTATATTCATCACAATTATAATGACAGGATTACCTGCTCTTTAGAAATCACACGGATAGGTCCAATTTTGACAGACACATATTTTCCCTTTGCAGACACTTTCTGGGATATTTGACCCTACACAAACAAATCCAGTTCATAAGAAACAGGATAGTTACAGAAAGACAGAAGTGGATTATGTGTGGTAATGTAGACAATTAAAGGGTTCGCAACAAAGAAACCATGCACTTGGGAGCTTGCAAGTTCCCGGGCGAAGCAACCGGCGTTTCCAGAGCTTTGGCTCAAACTCGTGGCTAGGCCGCGCCTTGGACCTCGACCATCTGCACACGGCGAGCACCTCCCTATCGCCCTCCACCCCTGCCGCCTCGCTCTCGCTGTCCCCGACGCCATTGCGTGGCCGTGCTGAGCCGCTGCCACAGCGCCGACGCAGCGTGGCCAGCAGGCCACGGCCCGCCTCCTGTCGAGCAGCAGCCGGCCCTACGACTGCGCGTGCCCGGCGCAGCTCGCCGGCTGGTGCAATAACAGAATGATAAATATAACTCGGTTACAAATTGCAACTTTCAACTTACAATGAGAGAATGAGATGACATAGTTTCACAAATATAATTCACATATTCAGTTTGCTTGAACACTAAAACTTTCAAACCTTACTATTTGCTACTTATCGATTTATACTAGGTCTGTTTATGCAGATGAAAATGTATAGGTACAATTATTAATTTGCTCAATTAATTAGTAACATTCAAAGGATTAACCTGGCAACAATTTTAAAATTTGGGTTGCTTGTAAAAACCAAGTATTGCATAGATGAATAAATATAATGTAAACAGATCAGCAGAAAGCCAACATTTTTTTGAAGAAAATGTACAGTATAGAGACTAGCTATGTTCAGTACTCGAATCTGCTAGGTATTGAATTCATAGACACAAGCTAGTATCAAACATATTTTATAGATCATATATTGACAAAACAAAAAATTCTGAGACCACAATACATAGAAGAAAAATACCTGTTCAATTGGACTGACACTGTCTTCTCTGACTTGTGAAACATGAACCTAATAATAATACAAAAAGGAAGCTAGCATCAACAGGATTGAGGTATAAGAACCACAAAGTGACCTAGAGTATTTCCTAAGCAATAGTATCCCACAGATGAGTTTACACAAATATAGGAAGTACATTAGCCCTTTGCAAGCATAGAATGACCTTTTAGTTGATGTTCTAATTAACATCTCATAGCAAATTTGAATTTACCAAAATCACAAGCTATCAGTAGTACACATGCTGGTCAAATTTGATCCATTATTAACATATTCACAAATCACAACAGTAGTATACATGCTGGAATTTAACATATTCACAAAGTTATAAATGAGATGCAACAAACATAGAACTAGATTCACAAGTGATGTTGCCTTGTGTGTAAATTACCTACAGCACCCTGAGAAGAATTTGATGCCCAGTAAGCTTCAGCTGCAGATATAGTAGTAATTAGAAATTTTGATAACTGATTACAGACCAAGAGAAAAAAGATACAAATTCATACTAGCTCTTGTTATCTCATATATGCCGCAAGAATCTGCTCATGTACAATATGAATTAGCTTGAATAATCACCCAAGCAAGGAACTGATCATTAGCTAATTTAGTTTTTGCTGTTCAGTGTAGGTTGTTTTTGCTTCCATGCCAGAGGTATTACTGCAGGTTGTTTTTTCCCCTTTAAGAGTTTTATTTATGTTTCTAGGACATGAATTTCCCAGTTAACTAAGTGCAGTCTCCTTCTGAATTCCAATAAGATGGGAAGGAAGTATACTGTCTTTTTCCTTCAGATACTGCTCTTGCCTAATTTAGGTGAAATTAACTCAGTATACTGATGTACCTAAATAGTGTATGTGACTGTCGCTATAAAATGAGGTTATTCAGAAAGGGTTTTGTACACAGTTCTTCAATTTTATGCTGGATAAAAAAATAATTACTCCTGCTATTCCAAATATATGAAATGTTTTAATTTTATCCTATGTCAAACTTATCAAACTTTGACCAAGTTTATAGAAAAATGCACCAATATCTACAGCATCAAATTAGCTTCATTAAATCCACCAAGAAATACTTGATATTGCAGTTGTTTGGTTCTGTAGAGGTTAATAAGGTTTCAATAAATCAGGTCAAAGCTAGAGAAGTTTGACCTGTGCAAAACTAATATATTACATTTTGTAATGGAGGGAGTACCACACTGTTTGCTCAGCTTCGAGTATTTTGTTCTTCTTAGCTCTGAGCACCATATAGTTGACTTTACCATGACTCTGCAGTAAAACAGGCCATTGAATTCACAGAATGCAGCTGATGCACTACAGAAGTTTAATCTTACGAAGACTGCAGTACAAAAGGCACTGGATGCATTGGCTGACAGTGGACAGATTTCCTTCAAGGAGTATGGCAAGCAGAAAATTTACATTGCTCGGCAAGATCAATTTGAAATTCCAAATAGCGAAGAACTTGAGGAGATGAAGAAAACAAATGCCAAGTTACAGGAAGAACTCGCGGATCAAAAGAAAGCAATTAGTGAGGTTGAATCTGGTGAGTTCCAAACTTCAAACTGGTACTATGGTCTTGTTAGTGGTCTACCAAATGCAGTCAACAAGATCATATTTGAAAAAGATCTAAATATAAATCTTCTACAGAGGTACGAGGTCTGCAGTCAAACTTGACGTTGGCAGAGATTACGTCAAAGCAGACTAAATTACAAAGCGAAGTAGGTGCAAATGTTCTCTTCTATGAAGCTTATTTGCTGTCAATATAAGCAGCCATCTCGTTAAAAGAAAATATTCCCTTCTGCACATTATTATCTGTCTGTGTTCCTTTGCACCAGTTTTAATTGCAGGACACATATTTGTTCAGGTCCAGGAAATGGAAGAGAAACTAACTAAATTGCGTAGTGGTGTTACCTTGGTGAAACCTGAGGACAAGAAGATCATTGAGAATTCCTTTGCTGAGAAAGTTAACCAATGGAAAAAGCGGAAGAGGATGTTCAAGGAGCTTTGGGATAATATTACTGAGAATAGTCCAAAAGATCAGAAGGAATTCAAGGTTCTTGCCCCCCCCCCAAAAATGACTGCTCTTAATACCTAGTATTTCCTTTGATCGAGCATTTAGCACATCGATGGTAGACTAACTGATTACAGATCGAGCATTTAGTTGAGAGTGCAACTGGTGGTGTAAACTCGAAACTTTATCTTGAAAGCATACAGGTCATTGTCTTTCCAAATTCTAGCCACCAGCTGATTTCAAGTACAGAAATTTAAGATAATATGCTGCTACTGAAACTAAGGGAAGAAAATGATAAATCTGTACTTGATATTTGCTTGCAAGCAAATTAAATGGCACTACATAAGAAAGAGTCAAATGCAATTAGTAGTGAATAAGCACAAAAAAAGGAAAGGGTAGTATTGATATTTGGTAATAAAGTTATACTAATCTGCAGTCCATTGCTCATGTATTAAGAAAATGTAAAGATCCCATGTGCAGTTAGTCTACAGGTCTATAGTTTACACAAGAGCAGAAGAAACAGAGCTCATGAAATCTAACTAGTACAGATCATAGTAGCAAGGTTGTTACAATGTAGTTAGAATGTCTCACGCCACAGATCGGAGTTGGGAGAGAGAGGAGAAAAGCTCGCCGGAACCCTAGATCCAGGAGGAGGAGGGCCTACCTCGTCGAGGTCACCGCGCCACTGGATCCGCGCTGCCGCCATGCCGGGGTTGCCGCACCAGGGCCCGTCTGTGCCACCGCTGCCGCGCCTGGGGTCGCTGTGCCGGGCCACCGCGCCGAGGGCCTCCTGCCGCCGTCCATGGCGTGGTGAGCGTGGTGGGGCGCAGGGAGGAGCGCGGTGGGGCGTCGTGGGTGGGCGTGGTGGGAGGCGGCGGGGACGGATCCGGAGGAGAGGGGCGGCGCGGCGGCCGGATCCGGGGAAATCCGGGAGGGAGGGAGGCGGCGGGGAAGGAGAGGGAGGGAGGGAGGCGGCGTCGTCGAATCCGGTCCAGGGAGAGAGAGGGGGCGGCGGGGAAGGAGAGGGGAGGGGCCGACCGGATCCGGGGAGAGAGAGGGGGTAGCGGGGAAGGAGAGGAGGGGCCGGCCGCCGGGGAAGAGAGGGCGGCGCCGGGGAAGGAGAGGGAGGGGCCGGTCGCCGGTGGGGCGCAGGGAGGAGCGCGGTGGGATCCGGGGAGGGAGTGAGCTAGGGAGAGAGGGAGGGGAGGGTGGGACGGGTGGGAGCTGGGGCGTGAGCCGGGGCTCTAGGGTTTCTGTACTCATGGGCCAGGCCAAAATTTGCGCGCGAGGGCCAAATGTAAGTGGGCACGTGAGCTCAATGTAAGTGGGAGCGTGAGCAAGGTGGGGCCCTTTTTTTTGCGACAGACGGATTGATGCTATACCTGTTTTCAGCGACAGATAGTTCGACATTAAAGATGATTACCTATAGCAACAGACAGTTAATCTCTAAATGGAGAATTAGCGTCAGATTGTCTGTGAGTTATCTTTAGCGTCATATCATCCATCGATAAAAAAAAGTTTTAGCGTCAGATGTCTGACGGTAATATGGTGTTGTGGTGTAGTGCGCCTTCGTCTGAGGACTCCATCACCGTGACCTCCGCTCCAAGTTCAATCGCAAGCCGCCAAAAGGGATTGGCGAGATGATTACGACCACCGATCAGTACGCCAACGCCAAAGAGGCCAAAGTACGTTTCAACAAGGATGCAGGCACTCATCGCCCAACTCGCCATAGCGATGAGTGACCCGACGATAGACACCACAGTGACCGCCGCTACAACGACCATAGTCACCATCATGACAGCGGCCGTGATCGGCCAGAAGGGTCCAAATCTGGTCAATATCGACCGTTGTCGACCAGACCACATCGTCGCCGCCATTGACGAACCTCACACCAAGCGCAACTACAATGAGCAGTACAAGAAGATCCTCGAATGGCCCATGCCCTCTCCATAAAAACAACAAGCATAAGATGAAGGACTGCCTCGGTTTGGCTAAGGAATTCTAGGCTAAAAAGCCGAACGACGACAACAACGACAGAGCCAGAGGCCACCGACCACCTGGGGACAACAACAATGCCTTCTAGGATCATGACAAAGTGGTCGCCACTATCTTCGGGGGCCTCACCACCACCGAGAGTAGAAGAGATCGAAAGCTCACCGCCCGCCGGGTGCTCGCCATCAACGCAGAAGACGCCATCGCCAACCCCAGTTATCGCCCCTAGTCTGAGGTCCCCATCACCTTCAACAGAGCTGACCAGTGGGCGGACATCCCTTACATAGGGCGTTTCCCCCTCGTTCTCGATGCAGTTAGGAAAGTGCTTTTTAGAAAAGTACTCGTCGACGGCAGAAGTGCTCTGAACCTCCTCTTTGCCGGAGCCCTAAAGGAGCTGGGCCTTGGGATAGGAGACCTCTCACCCTCCGACTCCTCCTTCTGGGGTGTGGTCTCTGGCAGGGCATCCAAACCACTTGGGAAGATCACCCTCGTAGTATAGTTCGACACGGCTAGCAACTAACGCATCGAGCACATCAATTTCTACGTCACTGACTACAACACCGCCTACCACGCCATACTTGGTTGGCTAGCTCTTACAAGTTCATGGCCATGCCGCACTACGCCTATCTGGTGCTGAAGATGCCTTCGTCTATAGGAGTCCTGGCCTTGTGGGCCAACCTATCCATCGCCTATGCCTAAGAGATAGAGAGTCTCGCCCTCGCGAAGCCACCGACCTCTCCATCCAGATGGCTAGCGTGGTCATCGACACCAAGACGGTGCCTGCCGATGACCTGGAGATCCCAGCGCTAGAGAGCCCCGCGTGCCTCCGCCAAGTCCAAGGAAACTAAGGAGGTCGGCCTCGGCCTTGACGACCCCACCAAGACCATGAAGATTGGGGCTCACCTCGACCCCAAATAGGAAAGCGCGCTCGTCTCCTTCCTATGTGCCAACACCGATGTGTTTGCTTGGAAACCTGCAGACATGCCTGGGGTACCGTGGAGAAGATCAAGCACTCCTTGAATGTCTCGCTGACCACCAAACCGATCAAGCAGAAACTCCGACGATTTGCACCAGACAAGAAGGAGGCTATTAGGGTAGAAATAAATGGCTCCTAGCTATGGATTTATTAAAGAAGTGTATCATCCTGAGTGGTTAGCAAACCCTGTTCTCGTTCAAAAAAAGAATAAAGAATGGAGAATGTGCATTGATTACACTGATCTCAACAAACACTGCCCTAAAGACCCCTTCGGTCTGCCTCGGATAGATGAGGTTGTAGACTCCACCACTGGCTACGAACTTCTCTCCTTTCTCGACTGTTACTCCGGCTATCACCAGATATCCCTGAAAGAGGACGACCAGATCAAAACGTCGTTCATCACGCCTTTTGGTGCGCATTGCTATACCACCATATCCTTCGGGCTCAAGAATGCCAGGGCGACCTACCAAAGGGCCATCCAGATGTGCCTCGATCAACAGATAGGCCACAACGTCAAAGATTACATCGACGATGTGGTCGTCAAGTCCAAGACCACCGACAACCTCATCGCAGACCTCGAAGAAACGTTCGCCAACCTGAAACGATACAGATGGAAGTTGAACCCTTCAAAGTCCATCTTTGGAGTTCCATCCGGCATACTCCTGGGCTACATCGTCAGCGCCCGTGGCATCGAACCCAACCCCAACAAGATATCCTCCATCACCACATGAAACGACCAACCTACGTAAAGGACATACAGAAGCTTACAGGCTGCATGGCTGCTCTCAGCCGCTTTATATCACGCCTCGGTGAAAAGGGACTACCGTTCTTCAAACTCCTCAAGGCCTCCAAGTGCTTCTCCTAGTCGGAGGAGGCAGATTTAGCTTTTGAGCAGCTCAAGTTGTTTCTAATGAAACCTCTGATCATGACGGCGCCTCGACCAGATGAAACCCTACTGATCTACATCGTCGCCACTTCTTGCATCGTTAGCACAACTATCGTCATCGAACGCGAGGAGGCCCGACACGCCTATAAGGTGCAACGACTGGTCTACTTCATCAGCGAGGTCCTTAATGAGCCCAAAACTCGTTATCCTCAAGTTTAGAAACTACTATACGCTATTCTGATCACGTCACGCAAGCTCTACCTTTACTTTGAGTATTACAAGATCGCCATGGTCACCGAGTTCCCTTTGGGGGACATCCTCTGCAACAAAGAGGCCAATGGCCGCATCATCAACTGGGCTGTCGAGCTCGGCACTTACTCCATCAAATTCAGAAGCAGGCCTACCATCAAGTCATAGGCGCTCGCTGACTTCGTCGCTGAGTGGACCGAGATCCAAGAGCCCATCCCCACTACTTGTCCCAAACACTGGGTGATGTACTTCGATGGTGCCCTCAATATCAACGGTGCTGGTGCTGGCATTTTATTCATTACGCTGACCAAAGACAAGCTCCGATACGTTCTCCGAATTCATTTTCTAGCCTCCAACAACGCCGCCGAATATGAAGCATGTCTCCACAGACTTCGTATAGCCGTCGAGCTCGGTGTCAAACGCCTCATGGTATATGGAGACTCCGCGCTGGTCATCAACCCACTCAACAAAGATTGGTCCTGTTCCAGTGAGAAGATGGACGCATACTGCGCCGAAATCAGGAAACTCGAAGGGAAGTTCTATGGTATCGAGTACCACCACGTGATATGAGATCAAAATCAGCTCGCCGACCACCTATCTAAGATAGGCTCTTCTCGTGTCGTGATTCCACCTAGGGCCTTCTTTCAAGACCTCTTTACGCCATCTATTAAGGAAGAGAAGGAAGTTCAAGAAATCCCCCCCGCTGAGCAATTGGTACTTACAGTACCTTCGCCGCCCTCCGACTAGAGGGAACAGTTCATCAAGTACCTTACCAGCGCCGATGTACCCGCTGACAAGACTGAAACTGAATACCTAATCCGTCGCAGCAAGCATTATGTGCTGGTGTAGTTGACCGTGACGCCTAAGAGGGGGGTGAATTAGGCAACTTAAAATTCTACTTTTAAACTATGGCCTCTTTTTCTAACCTTAGCAAAACCTATGCAAAAGATAAATTATCTAAATGTGCAACTATGGTTTTGC